TGTAGTAATATGTACTGGTAAATAGGCAGAAAACACAGTGAAAAAGCCGCTATTAGTAGGAGCGAGAAGCGATCTGCAGAAAACACGTGGCAGGAATATTGTGTAAAATGTTTTAAACCTAATTAGAGGCAATCTCAGAGTCGATCCATCCAATGAAGAAACTTAAATAGTGAGACCGACAAGCAGTGTCCGCACTTTGACACTTGAAGAACTGAGAAACCCTTTTCACAAACTTCTGAAGTAGAATTGAAACGCCAAAATAGGAAAACTGGGGACGAACTGCGTCAAAATCTGCGCCAACGGCAAAATCGGCATCGGAGCGAGACACTTCAACGGAGCGCACTTTGCAACTCCGTTGGCGCTTTGCCAGCTTGTGCTTTCATTTCTTTTTGCACTTAGATAGCCATGTTTCCACTCTTGTTGGTCATTCCTTAAATGGTTCCTCGGCACTTGTAGTTTTCGCCATTTTCCATTTCCGTTCCGTTGGAAGGTGTTCCTCATCGTTGTTCCGGTTGTTTTTTTTAATTCTTCCCTTTTTCATTTTTTTGTGTTTTATAAAGTCATTCATCCAGGCACAATGCGTCGGACAGACTCGACGCTGTTCGCGCCGTACCGTTCTATGGGAGTAGTGTGCTCCGAAGTGCGGCCAGTAATCCGACCAAATGAGTCCAAAGTCAGGTAGGAAGGGGAAGAAAGGAGTTGAACTCTTATACCTTAAGAACCTATTTCCTTCTTGATATCACGGCTTTGGGGTCTATTCCAGTTAGGGGGCATCATGATGCAGTTTTTCCAGAAAGCTAGGGTAACTCCGAGCCAGGAGTGTAGCCAGTCTAGGGGGTGGGGGTGAGGGCAGTCACTTGACATGCGTGAAAAGCTGGAATGTTCGAGTTCACACTAGTTCGCCGAGAAACTGCATCATGATGCCCCCCTAACTGGAATAGACCCCGGCTCTGTTTAATTATAAATATTTAAAAACACCTTTTCACAAAATGCGTCGCACATCGTCGTCCGAAAGGATGAAGAAAGGGATGGAGTTTCCAGAAAACTTCGTATAAGTACAAGATTCTGTTCAATATTTTCGATTGAATGTATTGCTTTCCAGAATGACTTCATTATTGTGTCCTGTAGACAATGTCGTTATGCATTACAAGGCTGAGAAGTTAAGACTTATTGGTATTTCCGATGTCCTCCCAAATATAATAACTGCTATCGCAGCTGATCGATCGTAAGTCTTTATTCCTTTCGCTTTTTTATTTCTTTCTATCACTTATCAAGCCAGCTCTCCCTTACAGTGGAGTATATGTTGCCTCGGGAACGTTGGTAGCCGTAATGAAAACTTGTCGCCATATTGACCGTTACATCGACATTGGAGCAAAGACAAAGTTTATGAAAATACTGGGTGACTACATGGTGAATTTTTGTTGTTTTTGTTTACTTTACTTCACAGGTATTGTTTGTTTTCACATCGTATTACAAGTATGTCTGGTAGGTCGCCTTTACTTGGCTTCACTTCTTGTAGATTATTGTTGATGAAGAAAATGGCATTCGAGTTTTTAACATTCCTGATGGGCAACAGCTTCTACACATGGAAGGTTCAAAAGAATTTCAAGTTACAGCCATGGTACATCCTAGCACTTATATGTATAAGGTAAGCTGTTCATTCGCTGTCCGTAACCTACACATTTTTGGTGTTTCTGCAATGTCTATATGGTTTTAAAATGGGACAGTAATTTTCAGATATTGATCGGCTCTTCTATTGGGACGATGCGTCTCATAAACTTCCGCAGTGGCCGAATTATTCACGAATTCTCGAAGGGTAATTTCATTCATGTCGTTATTTCATACCTTCACGTGATTCTACTGTTACTGTTGTGAAGCCATTGGTTCGGCTTCTACTCGAAAACACGGATTTTTCGATAATATGTAGACCTCTACTCTCCTTCCTCTACTTTTTCGTGTGAAGTAGGGGTAGATTCACGGTAGAGATCTAAGTGAGCAAGCGTTAGGCATCCCCTAAGCGGCTCTTACCCTCTGGTGGAAGGAGATCATTTTGGGTGGTATTGGCAGTGTATTCGAGTAAGTGAAATAATTTACTGTAGGTATTTTTATATTCCAAAGTAACACAAGAGTTGTTTAGAAAGTTTTGGCGAAATTTGAAAATATTCCTTCAATTCTGGAGTGTTACATGTTTCATTGTACTTACTATTCCCTTG